TGTCCAGCTTTTCTAAATAGTCCCTAACCACCTCTATCTCCACAGAGGGCTGTCCATCTCTTCCCCATTTTGTGATGCCCAGCGTAGCAGTCTGGGAGCTGACCTTGTTAGTGAAAACAGAGGCAAAAAAAGCATTGAGTACATTAGCTTTTTCCACATCCTCTGTCACTAGTTTGCCTCCCTCATTCAGTAAGGGGCCCACACATTCCTTGGCTTTCTTCTTGTTGCCAACATACCTGAAGAAACCCTTCTTGTTACTCAGGTGACTTGTTACTCTTGTTACTCATATTTGTAAATTTTCTTTGTGAGCAGTATACAATAGCCACTGAATAGCCAGGGTTGAATATCTCTTTTTCTGTCTTTGACACTTGTCTGGAGGGAGAAGTGCTATGGCGTTAGCTGTAAAAACATAAACATAAACATAGCCATGCAGACAGACACCCATTGTTATGTGCTGGAAAGGATCTATAGACAATTTTGCCTTTACAAATTTATCAGGACCTTTCTCTACAATACCTCCCATCTCTATCATTTTCATGATCTCTGTCCAGGATACTGGCCCATGTCAAATTTTGACATCCTGCTGACAATAATACATAAGCTCTTGCTGCAAGTCAAATATCTTATATTGGTTGTCCCGATACCAATAGATTGTCGGGCTCAACGGGTAGTGATCAATGGCTCCATGTCTAGTTGGCAGCCGGTGTCAAGTGGAGTGCCCCAGGGGTCGGTCCTGGGGCCGGTTTTGTTCAATATCTTCATAAATGATCTGGAGGATGGTGTGGATTGCACTCTCAGCAAATTTGCGGATTATACTAAACTAGGAGGAGTGGTAGATACGCTGGAGGGTAGGGATAGGATACAGAGGGACCTCGACAAATTAGAGGATTGGGCCAAAAGAAATCTGATGAGGTTCAACAAGGACAAGTGCAGGGTCCTGCACTTAGGACGGAAGAACCCAATGCACAGCTACAGACTAGGGACCGAATGGCTAGGCAGCAGTTCTGCGGAAAAGGACCTAGGGGTGACAGTGGATGAGAAGCTGGATATGAGTCAGCAGTGTGCCCTTGTTGCCAAGAAGGCCAATGGCATTTTGGGATGTATAAGTAGGGGCATAGCAAGCAGATCGAGGGACGTGATCGTTCCCCTCTATTTGACATTGGTGAGGCCTCATCTGGAGTACTGTGTCCAGTTTTGGGCCCCACAATACAAGAAGGATGTGGAGAAACTGGAGAGAGTCCAGCGAAGGGCAACAAAAATGATTAGGGGTCTGGAACACATGACTTATGAGGAGAGGCTGAGGGAACTGGGATTGTTTAGTCTGCGGAAGAGAAGAATGAGGGGGGATTTGATAGCTGCTTTCAACTACCTGAGAGGTGGTTCCAGAGAGGATGGTTTTAGACTATTCTCAGTGGTGGAAGAGGACAGGACAAGGAGTAATGGTCTCAAGTTGCAGGGGGGGAGGTTTAGGTTGGATATTAGGAAAAACTTTTTCACTAGGAGGGTGGTGAAACACTGGAATGCGTTGCCTAGGGAGGTGGTGGAATCTCCTTCCTTAGAAGTTTTTAAGGTCAGGCTTGACAAAGCCCTGGCTGGGATGATTTAATTGGGGATGGGTCCTGCTTTTGAGCAGGGGGTTGGACTAGATGACCTCCTGAGGTCCCTTCCAACCCTGATATTCTATGATTCTATGATACCCTCTAGAAATATTGTTTTCTCCCCAGGCGTCATGCTGTCAATGCCATAGTGCTCCACCCCTGCCAGAGGCCCCACATAATTTTGTTTTTTTAAGTGTTAACAAAGTGTGGGAAATAACCTTGGCAACCTTCAAACTCTATCTCCTCTGGGAGCTTGCTAAGCTTCACAGACAAGAAGTTTAAAGAGTCTATAAAACAAGTGCCCAGGGCCTTAACTTTCACATACATCAGTTTAGTAGCCTAAGTTATCAGTTCTATGCACATCTTTTCCTTCAGTAACTCTCTGACAACAAAGTACACGTCATTAGCTTTGGAATTGTGTGCTATGAATGTGTAGTCCTAGAACTTTTTGCCAATAAAGGTCTTAACAAAGGTAGAAAGACACTCTTCGCCCTTAAATTCCCAGGATTTTTCTGACTTTAGGGACATAGCAAGAATGCAATTGGGCACATGGAACCCTGTCTCCTGCGTGCATTCAAAATAATAAAAAATATACTTTTCTGATGATTCAGACTTTCTAAGTTTGTCCATAAAATACAGCTGGCTCTGTACATCACCTTGTCTTTTTGATGCCATGCCTATGTGTCTGTCTAAACACATTTTGGACCTGAAATACAGTCTACAGCTAGGACATCTCAGCTGTACACCCGTACTGTCAGCTCACATATTTAAGCAGAGGCAACACTGATACCTGCAAGAGTGTTTGTGACTGTACAGCGTTTGGCAAAACTCACAATAATTTTTTGCACCAAACAACATTTCACATGCAGAACCCCATAATAATGCTCTGAAAAGAGTTTTGGGATACACTGGGTCCCCTGTTTTAAAATAAATACTCCCCTTTCTCCACGTAAAGCACCACTTGTATGTTGACTTGTAAATGTTGTTCAAACACTGTTACGTCACTGAGCATAATCTTTTATTGATTTGACTTCAGTTTCTCATGCAGCTTTCTCGTCCCGTCTAACAATTCTGCATCTGTAGGTTTATCATTGAACATGATGACCAAGAGGCCATCCATAAAACATAGATTAGTGCTGGTGTAATTCAGGTCTAATAAATACTGTCTCTTCTAATGGACGATTTAACTATTGAGGATAGAATTTAAAACTGTACAGCCACCCCTGCAAATGGTTTTTGCAATTGCTACAAGGAGGTGTAGTGTTCCATCAACATATCTATCTCTATTACTCTGTTGCAGTTGAGTGGCCTAATTTAAGAAATCTTCAATAGACAGGTCATCCCTAGTTCTTCTTGCTGAAAACAAAGGGCTGTTTAAATTTCGTCTCTCGGGATGTAACTGAACAGAATTATCTGGGGCTAGCCTACCATTAACATCATTGAGAAGTGACTGTATCCAGAGGTGGATTATGGTTTTGTGGGGCCCTGTGCCAGAGCAAGTGGGGACCCTCCCTACCCCTTTCACTTGCAGTCCCCCCCCATACCTTCCATGCTCCTGCTGGGGAAATGGGGTCTGGGCGTCGGGGGCTTGCCCCGCTCTGCCTGGCACTCCTTCCAGGGAGTGGGGTCTTGCCCTGCCCTGCCTGCCCAGTACTCCTGCCAGGGAGTGAGGTAGGTGAGCAGGGAGCGCAGGGTGGGCAGAGTGGTGCAAACTCCTGTGTCCTGACCCTGCTCCCTGGCAGAAGTGCCAGGTGGGTGGAGTGGGTCAGGATGCGAGAGTGCCCATTTTGGGGGGCCCCCCAATTGTCTGAGGCCCCTTGGACCAGTGGCTAATCTGCCATGTGTATGGTTTCAACAACCTGCCGGGTTGAATGTATTCGCTCAAGACTGACAAAATAAAATTCCTCACCCTACACTTCACCCCTAAATCTAGGCAATTCCTGTTACCAACTTCTCACATGCTCCATATACACATCTCTTGGGGGGTGTGTGTCTGCATCTGCGTTTTCAGGGTTGTTTGGTGGTTCCTCTACAGAACCATCAGTTGTGTCATTTGCATCAGATACTATTTGACAGAAAACCTCCCACAAGGCTTATCAGGAGTAGATCGGAACCCCTCTATGGAGTCTGCTGTGGAATTTTCTGAATCAGACTTTATGTGAGAGTTACCACCGCTGCAGAGGAGCCCAGGGTCAGATCTGGCCTCCCTGTTCTCAGACACAGTAGTTTGAGAGCCTCCAGTAGGGGGCAGCTCTTTGGCATTTTTTTTCTCTTCATCACCTCTTTAGCCTTGTTTCAAATTTTTACAATGACCCTGGCCCATAACTTTTTGGACCACTCTGTTGGTCCCCCAAACGCTGACCACTCTTATGTGTACCCTTGAGGATGTCACTTCCAGCTGTCCCCCTTTCCACAACTAGACATGCCTTCTCAGAACTGGAGCCACCCTCTGGAAAACTGAAATATTTTTCAAAGTCAGCCACAAGAACTTTTGCATTTTTGATGTAGTTTCTAGTCACCCTTTCTTTTATAACCCCTGAGGATATTCTGGCTATCAGTTTTTCTGAATGAAGTGTCACGTTTTTCCCAGATTCTTTTAGAACACTGAAGAGCTATGCCTAGCATATTGAAGAAAGAGAATAGTTCATATCAATTTTCAGATACTCCATAAAGAGATACACCTGGGTCACATGGGTTTTCAATCCTCATTTTTTTATTCACAATCCCTAAAGCCCATGCTCCAGGTTTGTGACTCTGCATGTTTTCTCTCAGTTTCTCGGGGTTTGGTGTGGTGTTGACCACTGAGGAACTGGCGTTGTGTTTCCATTGTTGCTTTTTACCACCATCTTTTGTTTTGTCCTTCTGTTTGATGCATCTGAGCTTTGGACTGTCCTGGTACTTCATCTGTGCTCTTCTTCTGTTTTGTGTTGGCGTTGTTGTTAACCATCTGTCACGATGGTGCACGACTCACTGCTGGAGCTCCTCCTTCTGGCCATGTCTGGGGATTAGCTCTGCCAGGCTGACACCCCTTTCTCTGATTACACTCCATTAGAGCCCTGTGTGGGGCTATTATTTTTAATCACACTCCTGTCTTGCCCTGCGATACCCACTCCCACCTTCTCCCACATTGTTTTTTGCATTTTTATCCCATTCCCATCCGCAAAAACCTTAGCTCCCACAAATCCTCCAAGAGAGACAGGTTTCCCCATGCTACTTAAGCGATCTAACAACAACAACAAAATGGTCAGTTAATATATATATAAACAGAATTCAGACACAATTTTTACCACTAAAAGAATAAAATAAATATTGCTTAAACCATGTACAAATACATTAACTGCTGTTATAATTGACATCAAATCTCTTGATTAAATTTAAGTATTAAAATCTTTATTGTAAAAAAAAAAAAAAGGAAAATCTTGTTTTACATTGCTGAAATTCTATTTATGACAAACTGACAAGAGATTTAGTGTTTTCCCACAAATTACTGCAGTCTGTTTTTTTTTGCCCACCCAATTCCACCCGCAACAAAGTACATTTTGCCCGCTCCTGCTATTATGGCAGTGGGTCCTCGGGATCCTAGTCCTGCTTCAGGGCTCCACACTCCATCACTCTCCCTGTGTCTCACTCACTCAGGACTCAACTACTCCCACTTCATTGCTTGGCCCTCCAGCCAGGTCACTATAGTTTTCTCCTTCCAGTGGAGTGCATATATCAAAGTCTCTTGGGACCCCACTGTCCCAGGTAGTCTTTCCATTCACTGCTCTCTTAATGGTGTCTCTTCTCCAGTGTCCAGTAGGGGAACGCAAGCCCACCCTCAACACTGGGTTCCAGTCCAGGGAGTCTACAACAAGAAATCAAGGTCTGCACAGTCCTAAACCTTATTGCTGTATTCCTGGGCTACTTCCTGCCTTGCCTTTACTCACTCTGAGACTGACTGCAGCCTCCCTTTCTGCAGCCCTTTTCTGCTCCCAGCTACTGGGCTTTATACTGGCTCCTTCTGTTCCTGTCCAGCTGATCTTCACCTCTAATTAATCCTCATTGCCCCGACTCCTTCTCCAGCTGCCACCTAGCCACCTTAACCCCTTCAGGACTTGTATGGGGTAGACACCCCAGCACAAGGTTGCAGAGGAGATTTCTGGTTCTTTGTTGGTTGCGTTGGCAGTGTCTCATCTCCGTAGCTCTGACTATGGCATCATCAGGTGAGTTGCACAGGCCTGTTTAGGAAAACAGAGATATTCCAATTTAAGTATTAAAACATTTTACCAAGCTCACTCTCTTTCTTTCTCTCTCTCTCTCACACACACACGAAACAAACAAAACTTAACTCTGTAATCTCTCTCTTTCTTACCAAAGTCCACCCACACCTATGTATTTTGCTTAAAAACAAAACTGTTTAAACAACCAAACAAATAAACAAAATATATTTACTAGGGTTCAAATGTCTGTCGGTTGTTGATGCTGGAGAATTCTTCTTTTCCATTGTGTCTTTTTTTTTTCTTCTGAGCTTGTTTACACTCTGGTCTAGAGTCTGTCTTGTTTTGAACATACTGTGTGGGACAACATTATTACAAAACCACATGGAACAGTCTTGTAAAATTTAAAAATGAAATACTAAGGATGCTTTTTTTCTATTTAAAAGTCATAGGTTTACAAAATCCATTTCAGGCTGCAAAACAAATACCCACATGAGTGTTTGGTTTGTTTCTATCATTAGGGTTTCTCCAATACACAGACATTTTTAATGCAAGCACATTTCCCCCATGTACACCAAAACAAAGTTTGCAACAAAATACTTAAAAAACCCCCACACCTATCATAGAATCATAGAATATCAGGGTTGGAAGGGACCTCAGGAGGTCACCTAGTCCAACCCCCTGCTCAAAGCAGGACCGATCCCCAATTAAATCATCCCAGCCAGGGCTTTGTCAAGCCTGACCTTAAAAACGTCTAAGGAAGGAGATTCCACCATCTCCCTAGGTAACGCATTCCAGTGTTTCACCACCCTCCTAGTGAAAAAGTTTTTCCTAATATCCAACCTAAATCTCCCCCACTGGGGAAGGATTTCCATCCTCACCTGGATGTTTGTGTCAGTCCCTGCTCCACACAGCTCTGATTGCCCTGGGGCGGCGGGTGATTATAGATCTTGCCCTTGGTGAATCCATGCTGGCTGTTCCTGATCACTTTCCTCTCCTCTAAGTGCTTCAGAATTGATTCCTTGAGGACCTGCTCCATGATTTTTCCAGGGACTGAGGTGAGGCTTACTGGCCTGTAGTTCCCAGGATCCTCCTTTTTCCCTTTTTTAAAGATGGGCACTACATTAGCCTTTTTCCAGTCGTCCGGGACTTCCCCCGATCGCCATGAGTTTTCAAAGATAATGGCCAATGGCTCTGCAATCACAGCCGCCAACTCCTTTAGCACTCTCGGATGCAACTCATCTGGCCCCGTGGACTTATGCATGTCCAGCTTTTCTAAATAGTCCCGAACCACTTCTTTCTCCACAGAGGGCTGCTCATCTCCTCCCCATGCCGTGCTGCCCAGTGCAGTAGTCTGGGAGGTGACCTTGTTTGTGAAGACAGAGGCAAAAAAGCATTGAGTACATTAGCTTTTTCCACATCCTCTGTCACTAGGTTGCCTCCCTCATTCAGTAAGGGGCCCACACTTTCCTTGACTTTCTTCTTGTTGCTAACATACCTGAAGAAACCCTTCTTGTTACTCTTAACATCTCTTGCTAGCTGCAACTCCAGGTGTGATTTGGCCTTCCTGATTTCACTCCTGCATGCCCGAGCAATATTTTTATACTCATCCCTGGTCATTTGTCCAATCTTCCACTTCTTGTAAGCTTCTTTTTTGTATTTAAGATCAGCAAGGATTTCACTGTTAAGTCAAGCTGGTCGCCTGCAATATCTCCTGCATATACCCCTAAATCACAAACAATTTAAACATCAAAACCAACTTTTTAACCATTTTAAAACCCACACCACATTTTGCACAGAGTAAAAAATCCAGTATTTTAAACGCTCACAAAGCCACTTTGTAACAAAATACTTCTCAAGAAACCCTCACCTATTTTCTGCATATGCCCCATTGCTTTTAAATGTTCAGTTGTTCTTACAGCATATTCTTATTTTATATATATTGTGAAGGTTTGTGAACCCTTGCCACATTTCAATTTTGGGTTAGACTATTGTTTATTTTTGAAAATATATTATTTTTAAATTGTTAATGACTTTGAGTTGCTAGAAAGACTGACCCATAGTATTCTACAAACTCTGGAGGTGTTATTTAATGTAATATTAATCAGAACTCACCAACCCCAGCCACCTCTTTTCTGTGTGTGAATGCCTATTAAACCTAATTACTGATAACTGGCATCTTTAATCCTGATTGCACATTAAGGAAACAAAGGTGAATAATCACATCTAGACCTATGCTTACAGAATCACCCCTACCATTTCAGTAGGGGGTGGTTAACCAAATCAGTTCAACAGGGTTGCATCCCCTCTATTGTATTCAAACATAGGTCACAAACATGCATGTTTTATTCAGAATATAGGAACTTTTTTACTTTATTTTAAATATGTTTTGTTTTCCCCAGGATTCTACTACATGCATTTCAGCTTTTTGCTGAAATGGCTATAAAGACACAATAGCTGGGTTCTCACAAACTATTTTTATTTAAAAAACATACAAACCCCTTCAAACCCCCGTTTTAATTAAAACCCCACACAGGCCTTGTAACAGAAATACAACTGGACACTTAGACTTGTTACCAAGCCATAGTTCCAGCCTTTTCCCTAGTTATCCTTTTATTTTCACCTATTAACGTTAGACATTTTAACGTTTGAGGTATGTAGCCAATGTTTACACACTGTTTGGACTTCTGCCATTTCTCAGGTGGGGCACTCTTTATGTGTTATGGGCTACAGCAGAGTTTACTTTTGAAAAATATGTTAATTTTAACCTTTTAATGACTTTGAGTTGCTAAAAAAGACTGACCCAAAGCATTCTACAAACTTCTGAGGTTTTATTTCATTTAATGTTAAACAGAGCTCATCACCCATCACCCCTTACTGTGGGTGAACACCCATCAAACCTAATTAATGGTAAAGTATCTTTAACCCCATAGAAATGCTAAGGAGACATGGGTGTGTGATTACATCTGAAGGCAACAGTTCCGTACAACCCCATTTTGTTCAAGAGGTTAGGGTTAAACCAATGCAGTTCAGTGATATTGAGCCAGCTGTATTTTACTCAAACACACCTCAAACATCCATGTTTTACACAAAATATAGGAGGGGTTTTTTTGCTTAATTTTAAACACTTTTTTTTATTGCCCCAGGATTTTATTACACGCTTTTCAGCTGTTTGCTGTGACTATGTCTCTTTTCTCAAAGACACAATAGCTGGTTTCTCACAAACTATTTTTCTTTAAGAGACATACAACCCTTGCAAACAAACTGTGATGCTCCATCAAAACTTTCATCTTATTTAATTGCCAGACAGACCTTGTAACAGAAACACAGATAGTCACAAAGACCTTTTCAATACATATTTTTATTTACAGATAGCAAGTTTTATTATATTTTATATCATATGCTTGTTCCCTCACCATACTCCAACTTAATCCTTTTCAATTTACAGTCTTTTTCCTAAGCAGTGTTCTCTAACTTCTTGTGAGGATCAAACAATCATCAAACAATCAATATAATGCACTAATTTTGTTTAAAACACTGTTAGGATCTCAAGTGCTTTGCACAGCATTAACCGAGGTTACCTCTTGTCCTAAATTTTCTTGGGTTAAGCACAAACATTGCATTGCATAACCTATGGCAATAACACTGGTTAATAAGCTTTCCAAACACAAGTCAGCACACGGGGCCCAGAGCTTGCAGTTTCTGTCCTCTGAAGTCCAATTCACACAATCATGATGCTGCTGGCTTGGTGTGTCTATAACACAGCCCTCACAGTCTTCAAAACCTTCTCCCTAAGACAGTGATTAAGGACAGCATAAACAGAAATGCATACAATAGACTGCATGACTCTTTTACGATCATGACATGCCACAGGCTCAGTTAGTTTTATGCCAAGGGCCTCTCTTAAATCCATACGGTTATCATCCTCCCTGTGCACAGTGTCCTGTTGAACAAGTTGTCTTGGTGTAGAGCAAAACCAAGTTGGGCTTTATTCACCCTCGCTGTCTGATGCAACACTCTGGGTCCCCTAGAAAGGCACAGACAAGCTTTTGAGAGGTTTTCAGAAAAGAAACAGCTGTAAGTCCACTGTTCTTAGATTTATGCAACCCCAGGTCAGTTTCTACCGTATTGTACTCCATCCTTGACTGCCACTTTTTATAGTCTATTTACCTGATCAGCATCTTCTTCATTAACTTTGTCCGACTCTGGTGACCCACGGTACCTTCCTCCACAGGGGCAGACGCTGGGCAGCCATCACACTTGTCAGTCTGCCTCACAAGTGCTTGGGTCTCGGGATCAGGTTCCAGCATATCCATCAATGGCAGGGCCAAAGGGCTCCCCTCAGCACTTCCCTCCTCCTCCAGACTGCCTCTGCAGACAACCAAGCACCTTTGGAGCTAAAACAAATTCTGTATTTCTCATGGAGGTAATGAAGGAGGCCACGTTTTCCCTCAGTGTTTTCATGATCTCTGAGAAATGTGCTCTTGAATCAAAACCACCTCTTCCATGCTGTGATCAGACTCCCTGGGGCAGTGCTGCTGACTGGCCAACTGTTGAGCTCCAGAGATCAAGGGTTCCCACCTAAACTCTTGTGCTTTACCAGTGGGTCTCAAACTTTTTTACTGGCGACCCCTTTCACATCGCAAGCCTCTGAGTGCAACCCCCCTAATAAGTTAAACACACTGTTTAATATATTTAACACCATTATAAATGCTGGAGGCAAACGGGGTTTGGGGTGGAGGTTGACAGCTCACGACCCCCCATGTAATGACCTCACGACCCCCTGAGGGGTCCCGACCCCCAGTTTGAAAACCCCTGTGCTATACCTATTCTGATTGCTACACATTTGCCTTCCAGGAGGGCCTCTGGGGGTGAAACCCATGCTGACCCATACTTGACTGGGGAGCCTTGGGCTGTCAGCATTCCCCTTTGCTTCCATAGGCCAGCATGAGCATGCAGCACACCAAAAGCATACTTTGAATCAGTAAAAATATTGACCCGCTTTCCTTTTGACAGTTCAAGTGCACGGGTCAGGGCTATCAGTTCAGCAAGCTGGGCAGAGGTCCCAGCAGGCAAACCTTCAGCTTCCACAGTGTCATGGAGGGTCACAACAGCATAACCCGCCCTCCTTTGCCCATCTATTACAGTACTACTACCATCAGTGTACGACTCATAATCTGCATTTGGGAGGGGTACATCTTTTAAATCTGGACGGCTGGAGTACTGGACATCTATGATCTCTGAACAGTCATGTTTCTGTTCCTCTGTTTCTGGCAAGAGAGTGGCTAGGTTAAGGGAGGGGCAAGGCTGTAAGGTGACTTCAGAGTTCTCTAACAGCTTAGCCTGGTACCGAGCAATCCGAGCCTGGGTGAGCCAAAGCCCTCCCTTTGCATCCAATAAGGCTCGGACCATGTGGAGAGTATAGATTTGCATAACCCCTCCCAATGTTAGCTTCTCGGCTTCCTCAAGCACTAGGGCTGTAGTTGCGACCGCCTGTAAACATGCCGGCCAACCCTTTGCAACCTGATCCAGTTGCTTAGAAAAATAAGCCACAGGACGTCTCCATGCTCCTAACAGCTTTGTGAACACTCCTAGGGCCACCCCCCTTCGTTCATGTACATACAACTGAAACGGCTTAGAGAGATCTGGCAGGTCCAGAGCTGGGGCTTCCATAAGTTTTCTTTTCCAGATTTTAAATGCCCTGTCAGCCTCTGGGGTCCAATAGAAGGGGTCATGATCTGCTCCTTTTACACAGTCGTACCGGGGTTTTCCATATCCTGCAAAAGCCTGCCATACCCAGAAATGCCCTGAGCCGCTTACGGTTACTTGGGGTAGGAACTTGACAGATAGCTTCCTTTCTTTCGCTTGAAAGCTGACGCTCCCCTTGCCTTAGCTGTAACCTGATCCCTCTCCACCTCAGACAACAGGGTTCTCAGGAGGATATTACAGTCGTCTCAATCGGCTTGTGACTACTGAGGCACCCCTCGAAGACTGAAATAAACCTGCTTGCGTTCGTTGAGAATTCCCCAGCCTGTGTTTTAAAAGCTGCTAAGGCTATTGGATTGAATGGCACATGGGTGTAAACTTGCATAGTGGTAGCCTGACGTCCGTCTGCCCCTGGGCAAGCCACAACGGTCTCGGTAAGCAAAGGATAGAGTCCCACCGAGGGGGCAATCTCTGTAACCCGAGGCATCCTACCCTTATACGGTGGGGGTGTGGGGGCCGAAGGGGACATCGGCTCTGCCATTACAGTGGGGGTTGGGGGTCTGGGGACTAACATTAGCTACTACTGAACCAGTCGGAGTCAAATTACAACTTTGCAGAATTACAGCTCTGTTTTATTTTTTAAAGCCATAAACGCTTGTGCATACAAATATTCATTCCATTTACCCATTCACTGACAAAACAAAACTAATTGGAGGATCGTGTTGTAATTAATTGACCCTCCTGGTGGCCACCACTCCTGGTCCTCTAGTTGATATTGAGGCCAGTCAACTGTACAGAATCATTTTAATCGGCTCTTAGTCATTGGATCCGCACCAAATACCTTCCAGTTTGCTAGAATGCACTCTAGGGGCGTACACCGTGCCCTAACCCCTGAGCTCTGTCCCTGTCCCATACCTACAGGGTAACTCTGGGCGTCCCCAGGTTCCAACAGAGCATATAATCCAGATTTTAAAAGGTTCCTACCTTATCCAAGGGACCGGTTCTTCACCGTGGCCTGCAGCTGCTCCTCCCCCATGTCTAAGGGACCGGTTCTTCACCGCCGTCCACAACAGCTTCTCCACTATATGAGTGCGTTGCACCGTTGTGCCCTCTGGGGTCGATCAAATCGCATCTCCTCCGAGGCCCCCAATGAACTCACTGGTGCGCGCTGGGCATCGGTTCTCGCTGCAATCCTCGACCTCCAGGAGGGGTCCCGGCAAGGCTAAATTGCAGCCTCGTCGCCCACCCAGGGACGCCAAAAGCTGTTGCCGGCACCCAGTGCCGAGAGGCTGAACAACA